TGCTTTTTAGAGCTTCAATCCAGTCTTCCGGGTTCGGCGGCAGGGGCGGCAGCCCTTTTGTGTATATATAAATATTTACTGTATATTCTTTGAGTAAGTCATACCGAGTGGGTAATCTAAGCTGCCGACTCATTGAAGAAATCCGAGGGAAGTTCGCACGCCGCAGGTTCTACTTCAGAACCTCAGCTTCGAACATAGAAATCAGAAATCACTTCAAGGGAATTTCGTTGCACAATTTGTAGCTTTTCGTAGCTTTGCATTTATACTCCATGCGGCTTCGTTGCTGGATGGTGGGATGTCTCCTGAATTTCCTTGGTCCAGCGGCTCCGTGCGCTCCTTTGGCACCTGGTTGCCGATTAGGCCATTGCATCATGACATATCATGACATTAACTCGGTCAGATCGACTTTGTCAGGTCGACTGTGGTAGACTCATAGATGTTGGAGCAAATAATGCAAAACAATGCACATACTGCTGTGGGTTCTGTAAATGCACAAAGGCCAGCAGGATATTTTCTGAAGATTCTGAGTCCGCCTCCTCCCCATCAGCGACATCAGCTTCCAAAGAAAGCGAGACAGTGTCCTGGCGCAGGTGCGGCCTGTGGCCCAATCCTACATATGTTCCGTTTCAGTCGTTTCAGCCGTTTCAGCGGTTTCAGCGGTTTCAGCCGTTTCATGTCAAGGAGCAGCACCAACAAAGAAAAGGCGCCGCGAAAATGCATAGTGGTTGACTGCATGAAGACAGGTCAAAAATATTTTGAATGCCAATAATTGAAGAGATTGAGGGAAGCAGTTTTTCCCATGTGTATCATCATGTCTTCAACCGCGAGCCACCACGAGCCTCTGGTTTTGCCTGGGGAGTTGGTGGAAGCTCTGGTAGAATGCTCTTGTCTGCGGCATTCGCCATGGACATCCTCAATAGTTTGCCCTGGCGGATGGTGACACCGGTGGCAAACTGATCAAACTCTTATTCTGGGTCAACCTCCTACAACACAACCAGAGAACATGAAATATGCACACTGCATCACACTGCCTAAAGAAGAAAATCCAATGCACAACATGACACCAAATCCAGTCTGATCAATCTGTATGAGCCGTTATGAGCCTGCAAACGTTGCACTTCCTGCGTTAGTTCTTCGATGTGGACCTTCGGGCTGGGCGGCAATTTGCCCCGTGACGTTTGTCAAGCCCCTCTGGCACGGTCCGCAGCTCGTAGATGCTAATTCCACTCTCATCAACCCTTCAACCAGTAGTTGCATGCATCATGATTCTTTGATCCCTGAATATCATAGAAATGCATGCATATGATTATGACTTTATATGTCTAGTCAGGTGGGAATTTGAGAATTCGAAACGTTCCAAGTGCCCTCCTCCTGCTTCTTGTAGAGCTGTGAGAGTCGAAATAGTAGCTCTGCGTGGGCGTCTTCTGGCCTAAGGGCAATCAAGAGAAGCTCTGGGAAACACGACGAATGCCCCTTGTTTGCCCTTCAGCCCTTCGAATGCCTCACCAAATGGGATCAGTGTCATCGACTCCAATGGATCATGCTCAAAATGGTGTGCCAGATGCCAGGGATAGGCACTTTTGACTGGCGGAAACAGTATGGAAGAAAACAGAAAACACAGAAAACACCTGGCCAATTTAGCTGAAATGCATTTCACTAAGCATATCGTCGAAGGCGAACGTTTCTTTCCGGATGAACTTCTGTGAGTCTTCCAGAAGATTGGCCGATGGCTGTGATGTCAACGTGGGCTGCACTGGAAAGGACTGCGACATGGCGAAAAAGGGCGCCTGGAGCCGTGGAAGATCGTGGAAGATGTTGAATGGATTTGAATGGTGCTTTCGGAGCTTTCTTGTTGTGTTTTTTGGGACACAATAGTCACAATACAGTACAATTCCTGTCTGGATTCTGAATTGAATCATCCACTTAGAGATGATGAGATGATCTCAAAACTTGTCATTTTCTGAATCTCGTTCCAGCTGTGTGTTGTGGGCTGCAGCTCCCAACTCCAAGATTCTACGCTGAGATCAGCTTTGAACCGATGTGCATAAACGTCGTGAACGTCAAACGTCATAAAGTTCAGCGATTCCAAGGTAGAAATGTAGAAGTCGTATGAAGTCGCTGGACCGGGATCCATAGGGCAGACACTCGGTCAGCACTGGTCGGATTCCTGGGATTGGGCTGATTGGCACCAGGGCACGCGCCATCCCATCGTAGCAAAGGACCATAGCGAGCTGGTCAAATGTCGCGTTTGGAATGCCGGAGCCTATCCAGGCAGCTTGCAACAGGACCTAGTGAGTTGCGTGTAGAACGCAGCTGGGGTGACATGATGTCAATGATGACATAGAATGATATGGATATGCTGTATGATATGCTGAGGCATGCGAGGTGTCCGAGGTGTCGAAGGTGTCCCTGCAGAACGTTGCTATTGGCTGCTGCTCCGCCTGCAAATTTCGATCCAGGTGATCCAAGGTTTGACGCCACCGACTGTCCTGAAACAGCCTGCCATGCCAGACATCTGAAAGAACAATACAAGCATATTACTTGTATAATATACAAGCTATGTGGGAGGCAGGAATATCTCGGTGCTCAGTCTCAAGATGTCTAAACATGTCTTAACTCTTAAACATCTTAAACATCTCTTCACTCAGTTGACGGAAAGTAAACAGTCTGAGAAATGCCAGCGGGAGTGCCTGGGGTCTGGAACCTCACGGTGCCACTTCGCCAGGCGATGCCTTGGTGACGTCATGTCGAGATCCATGTGACATCCATGCGACTTTGATGCTTCCGTTGAGTTTAAAGGGAAATGGTATCAAGTTCCATGAGGATCATGCCATTTTGAAAAGTGCAATTTGATAGCCATTTGGGGCCATTTGACACAAATTGCATTATACTATACTGCGTTTAGCTTTGCACTGCGAAGATCTGCAAGAAACCGATTTGTTCTATGGTGACACATGAGTACTCATATGACCAAGTTACAATGCCGTCGCAGTGTTGGTGCCATCAAATTCTGAGCCATAGCTAGCAACCAAAGCGAGTACCTGGCACTTCATGGACCAAGGCGACCAAGGGGATTGGCACCAAAAATCTCACATTGGCGAGTAACTCAGTAACTCATTTGTAGCTATGCCAAAGGTCCCCTCGTCGGAATCAACGCAATGCATGCTGTTTACAGCAACATCGTGCGATAGGATGGATGGACGGCCGATTTGCTGATAGACTGAGGGATTGCAGTATAGACATTACAGACTATAAATATCCTATGGTATTATAGAGAATATAGACCGATCGATGGAAATATAGATATTATTATAGATGAAACATGATGAAACACCAGAAAGCTGGTTGACATTGGGTTGACATGTGCGCTGTGTGCCTCAGGAACGGAAGTGGTGGAAGCGATCCAGTCGTTCAACGTCCGTGAGGGCCGCTCCGGTCGGGCCTCAAATCGTCTCTGGAGAAAAAAGTGAGGGAAGTGAGGGAAGTGAGGGAAACACATGTCCCAAGGATTCCCGTCCCAAACACATCCACACTGTGGCTCAGGCATGGTATGGCAGCTTCGAGGAGACGATCCTGCAAATGCGCAATTCTGCCAGAAAATAGACATTTTCAATTGTTTTCCAAATGGAAACTTTCTGCGTTGGCCTCACAAAGTCACTGTGTGGTGTTCCAGGTGGCCCATAAGCATAGAAGGACTGTGAAGATGACCTGCGCCATCTGCTGTGCAGTGACACATCAGAACGTTTTTGCAGCGACAGTTGAATAAAATGAATAAAGCTATCAACGTGAAATCACGTGTTTCAACTCGTTTCATGTTCAACTTTCCCGCATATTCAGCTGAGCTGCTTTGTCTTCTCCTGCGGCATCCAGCAAACGGATCCAACACTTTATTATCTTTATTTGTTTCCACTTTGGCATTTTTCCAATGCCCCAAAACCATCCAAAACCATCTTAGTGAAAGACGTGCACATCCCATGAACTGCCAACCGGGTGGGGAAAAGCGGAAAAGCTTAGTTTATACATACATACCATTTTTGCAACAAGTCCGCAGAAACCTCTGCCAGCCATAGCGCTTCTGTGCCTGGGATGTAGGCTTGGAAGGCTTGGCCTGTGAAAGTTCAGGTATCTTTGCTGCCTGGCCACAGATTCAAAGCGCTGTGAAACCCTCAGAGTCTTCCTATGGCTTCCAACATACGATCCCTTCACCATGATGCCGCGGCTGCCTGCTTCTGAGTGGTTGATTTTGCCTCAACCTCCAGACCTGGTTTGGTGGAGCCCGGTGAGTGCGGGGTAATCAAGGCTGTCAGAACTGGGGGAAAGGTAGAACTCAAGCCGAGCAATACGAGCAATACGGAATCATGGCAACAAATCACCTGGAACCCAAAGAGCGCAGGTCCTTCTACACCTTCCATGGAAGGGGGGGACAACTGTGACCTTCGTCAAAACACATTCTAGCTTTTTGTTTTGCAACGCATCTGAGCTCTGGTGCTTTCTTTGCCATTGGAATCCTTGTGCCAAACGGAGAAGGATGGAGGTCCAGGGGCTGATTGTAGATATGGCCATTATGGCCATGGCAATTCTCGATGGCCACGCCACTACGCCACGGAACACCGAGGCTGCTACGCCAACTTCCAGGACCTCTTTGGAGCTGAGCCTCAGTGTGTCGTTGTACTGCCATGACCATGACGGGATTCTCCGGTGAACGTCTAGGTCTACACTGAGTCTACACCATGCGGACATGTCAACAATGATATACAACATGTCCAGGGTCAAACTTTGATCCTTTCCTTGGCTGAAGCTCAGTGGCCAAAGCTTCGCATCATTAGCTGTGGCAAAATTGCCATAAAATGAGCTCCTGCAACGCCAAGTCTTGGAAAAAAACATGCGAAACGATTCCATCATTGATGGCCATGGTCTAATGTTGGAAAATCACATGGTCAAGGGATCATTGAACATCAATGATCGAAGTACTGCTGAAGTCTTTGTTTTCTTTGTCTTCTTGATCTTGGATGCTGATGCCACTGGTGCCACTGGTGGATTTCAACTTGCTGCCAAGTGGCATCAAGGCGCATGGAGGACATGAGCTCTGAACATCAAAATTTCTACTGTCAAAATCTGTCAAACCAATGGGTTCCATAAGCTTGGCTGCGCCGCTGGAAGAAACATCACTTGTGCAACATCTGTGCAACATCAGCTTGTCTGGATATGTCTGGATATGTCATAGTCACAAGCAACTGCTATTTTGTGTTTCAGTTTCAGCCGACCTGTGGCATAGGTGGCTTCTTGTGGTGCTTGGCGATTGGGCTACTGAGGGTCCGATCTCATGTTGGAAAACAGTCGCGATGAGGGCAAGGCAATGGACGTCGGAGAATCTTCTCGGCATCTCAGCGCTCCGTGAAGTGCAAGGCCGGCCCCCAAGCTCGATGTACCCAGTATCGTCGCAAAACTGTCAAGAGATCTCCACAACAAATAAGAGAATACCCGGTATACCCGGTATACCCGGTATACCCCACACCAGACCCTGCCAAGTTCAAAGCTCATACGCTGGGCTACATGTTGCATAGCTCAAGGTGGCTGGCACCTGATTACCATGAGATGCAGAGGTTTTGCTTGGACCCTTGCCAATTTCCCAAAGAATCCGCCTATCCTTTTTCCCACGAAAAAAGGTTGCAATCCATGTGCCCACTGCTGCAAATGCACTTAAGCACCTGAATTTCAAGATTTGCCCCTTCGTCGTTTGGGACCGTTCTTTACAGATAGCCAAGCTTGTGCTCAAGTCCTGGATAGGCCCCACACTTTTGTCCGTCTATTTTTTTTCTAACAAGTAGATCATCATGATCGAACACCCCCTCGTCGCAAACAAAGTGTTCCGTGTGCCGGTGGCCGAAACGGCGCGGAGGAAAATCCCCCAGTGAAAGCACTGCAAAGCTGCTGCCAAGTGGTATCAAACAGAGGTAAATTAAACTAATTAACCAACCTTTCAATGGCCTAAAGCATCTGAAGCCAGCCTTATGGATGACATGGCGAAACCAAGACTAAAACACTAAGACTGCAAAAGTACAGCAAAGTATGAGCTAAGCCAGCTACGCACCGTAGATTGCAGTGGCTGTTTCGCAAGGCTTCCAGGCAGCACCCTTCAGGTACTGCGCTATGGGCACGGACATTATCCATCGAGCTGCTACACAGCACGGGCTGAGCCAACAGGCTGCCCCCTAGAAGCCGCTGCGTCAAGGTCAATTCTCCCAAATGATTTTGCAGTGGCTACCAGTCAATGCAAATTGGAATCATAAAATAATGTTTTTTGTAGAAACAAGTGAACAGCCACTACACACCACAAATCAGCTAGCACTATTTCTTGAGCCAATGCAACACAATCTATAAGGTGAAAAGTATGTATACATGCATGAAGACTGTGCAACAACACCCCCCGTGCAGTGTAGTTACCGCCCGGGTAGTGAAGCTGCAAATTAGGCTATGTACAGTCTAGTTAGGGATGCCATTAGTTAACATAACCAGAAAACAAAACAACAAACCCAAACCCGACCGTCGCCTAACCTTTCAAAGTCTTCCACGTCTTCACCTCAGGTGTGCAATGATTGACGAACAAGTGCAAATGCGAATGCAATCCATTCAATCGGACTCCAAGTACATTGAAAGACGGATGCAATGCAAGTCAATTTGGCCGAATGCATTCAGTTTCATTTTGGCTCTACCGGGCTTGTGGTCGAACATGCAAACGTGTTGAAGTGTGGCCCATTACAAAGGCCAGCGTTTCCACGCGGCATCAAAAGTTCTTGTGGACGCCCGGGAGCATGCCGAAGCAAACAAAATGAATTAAAGCAAAATGCTGAATTCGGTTTCGATGTGAACCCGCAGGGAAGCTTTCAGAAATGCTTCAAAGATGCCTTAACTTCGCAAGGCAAGAGCTTCCGCTCTGCGGTTCATGCAACTACCAGCCGTGTGCTATGCAAGAAGGAATCATGGCAAGAATAAGATGAGTGCCAAATGCCTGCTTCAAATTATGTGCATTCAAAGCGTTAATGAAACTTTTGTGAACTTGATTGAGTTGGCAAAAATTCCGACTTAGCACACTTGTGTTGGAAACAATCGTGGAATCGCTCACCCACGCGTGCAAAATGAAGCTAGTCGCCTAACCGAATTAGATCCGAAAAGGCAACAGCTTCCGCTGTGCGACACCTCACATTGAGAGAAAACTGCCCCGCCTCAGATGAAGATAAATCCACCAGGCGAGAGGTTCCCCTCCGCGGTGCCTCAGCGATAGCCCGACCAACGTCGATCCCGGTATTGGTGGCCTTGATTTCGACGGCGCCAATCTTCCCACTCCTGGTCAGTCCACTGATTGTAGTAGTCATTCCATTCCTGCTGACTGTAGCCATGAGTGGGCCCCTGATGAGAACCATAGCCAGGACGCGAGGACCTGGTAACATCCGGGTTCTGCTGCCTTGTTGCAGGTAGGGGTCGGCTTCCGCCTTCCGTGTCCTTTGCCTCCGTGAGGGGGCGCAAGATGTCCTCGACATAGCTGAGAATGTCGGCATACACATCCTGCTTGGACAACGCAAGGGATTGGAACGTCGTGTTGGCGACGCTCAAAACCTCAAAACGCTCGGCCACCGGGATCAAGGCATAGGCGGCCGCGAACTGGTTGGCTCTGTAAAAGCGGTTCTTGTACCAGATGAGAACATGATCATCCACAATGATCGTCTTCATCTGCTCCTCTTCGTATGCGACCATGCACATACGCGCTTTGTACTGCCGAATCTTTCCAGTTCGGATCTCCTCTCGCGTGCGCTTTGGAGGGAAGCACCACATTGCCCAGAACTGTAATCCAATGCATACACCGAGGTGTAAGGTCTTGGACCGCACAATTAAAGGCGTAATGGGCGTCCGTTCCCAGACGCTGTAGCAAAGTCAGTCCAGCTTTTCTCGCCTGCTTCATGTATGAGCGGGCGTGATTTTTGAGGACTGCAGCAGCAGATCTGATCTGCTTGGCACCTTGAGTGGTGCCTGCTACATCGTCGTCACCCAGAAGATCCAACGTCAGCTCGAAGCCCAGCTTCTCGGCCAACTCTTCCAGGCGGAACACCTGACACGCACGACGCATGTCGGACATTGTCGCCAGCGACAAGCCGCATGCAAGGCAAACCAACATCCCCTCAGGAAAAATCTTCCTGCACCGGGGGCATGTCAACTCCGGCATTGCCAGCATTGAAACATACCGCCAGCGCGTGAGGTTCCCCTCCGCGGATGGGTCAAATGCCTCCTGATCGAAGCGATCAGAACGGCGTTCCCGCGCGTTGTCAGGGGCGATGTCGAAGCCAGCAGCTGTTGCCGTCGGCTTGCGTGCCACACAGAGGAGATTGGTGAAGTTGAGCGGCCTTTGCTTGAACTTGGGCAGCAACTCATCGACTACAGGATATGGTGTCGGAACTTCCTTGTAAATGAGCGGACGTCGCAGAGTGATGACATCCTTCCACTGATCGTACTCATTCACGAACATGTTCTTCAACACCTCCAGGTCCGAAATCTCGTACCTCTCAAGTTCGTCATAGTTGGGAGTGCCCTTCCGAGCCTCGTTCTCCTGCCAAGTGAGAGCGTTCTCGGAGGCCTTCTGCCGAAGGTACTTCTTCACCCCGTTGTAGCCATGGTTCGCCCAAAGGTATTGCGACTTCTCGCAATCGAATGCGTAGATGAGGCAATGATTGGGCACCCAGTCCTCAGTGATGAGTGCACCGGCCAAGGTTTCCACCAGGCGAAGACCATAGTGCAAAGCACAATCGGTGTCGATCGCGATGCGCAGCGGTCGGTTCGTCCTGACACCAGGATCCTTGCCTTCGATTTCCCAAGGCGCATGGCGGGTCATATACACATGACCCTTGCATGAAGTGGCCCCCGGGAAAATTCCCGTGCAAATGATCTGCTGGAGGGAGTCCCATGAAGTGTAATGGTAAATAACCTTAAACTCTTCTGAGACCTCGGCTTCCGCCAGGTGAGGATAAATGGGGACCCTTGGATAGAATCCCTTCTTCAAGTCCTCAACCGTGAACTGGTAGTCAAGCGAGATGATTTGCTTGACCAATGGAGCCGTTCCCACCTTGTCGATGAGGGACTGGTCGTGACCTTGGCACGCCTCCACATGCGTGATGCGATACGGCATGTCCATGGTTGTCAGTTCCCCGACAATTCCAGCCTGAATGCGGCACATGAACCTGTCCTGAGTTCGAAGAATCAGGTATAGGTCCTGTCGCGAAAGCTGAGCACGATGCCGCTTTCGGAGGTACGCGTACATGGACTCAAAGTTCAAGTACAGCTCCTCATCAAATTCAGGAGGAATGTGGCGGTGGTGCGCCTCGAGGAACTTGTGGTCATAGCCTCGAAGCAGCCCGGTCACCCTCTTCGAAAACTTGAAATCATCATGACTGAGTCTTCCAAGGTCCCTCAGGCCTGGCAGGTCAGTACACCGGACGGTGAATTCCCTGCGCTCGCCCGTTCCCGGGGAGAAAAAGTACCACTTGGGATATCCCTGTGGTCGCAAGGGCGGATCAGCCGGAGGCTGAGGTCCACCCGTTCCCGGGGGAGGAGCACTTGCCATAGGCGGCTCCTTCTTGGCCATCTTCGGGGCAGGCTCCGACGAAGACGCAGCTGCAGGCGCCGATGACTTCTGCGGAGGTGCCCTGGGTGAAGTTGTTGTCAACGTTGCAGGCGGCGCCTTAAAAGGCAAAGCTTTGGGCATAGGATGGTCCGCAGCTTCCGCTGGGAGTGCAGGTGGCTCCGGCTTGGGGGATCCAGTTGCACTCTTCGGAGTCGGTGGCGGACTGGGCTTTGGGGACGCCATAGGAGACGTTCCCGTCGCCGTTGAAACCTTTGGGAGCCGCGGAGCAGGCTTGGGCTGAATCATAGTAGCCTGATCCCTCATCTTGGGTTTGATGAACTGGCTGACAGTGTCCCCGATCACCTGTGCGATGCCGGCCGAAGATGATGCCGCTTCGGATGAGGAAGCCGCCTTCGACTTTGCCTTCGACACGATCTGGACAGTGGCAGCAGGGTCACCCGCGCGAAGCTTCTCTTCGGCGGTTTTGGGCTCCTCAAAGATTTCCCTTTCCATCTGACGATGCTTCTCCTCATCCGTCAAGTCGAAGCGACGAATGATGACTGCACCATCATCGGTCTGCTGCATGGATTCCTGCCGAAGTTCGAGCTTGGCAGGGTCACGTGTGACGTCGGTGTCCAAGATGTTCACTACGCCAGAACCATCCAATCTGAAGTCCACAGCATGGATCTTGTTCATCAGATGGGAGCGCAGCTTCCGCTGGCTAAACATTGATGCTGAGCCGCCGACAATGGGTTCTCTGAAGACAATCTCTTCGTCAGCGTCCGGCTCGTCAATGTCACGCTCGTCGGAAACACCAGGCAACCGATCCAAAAAGGGCTTGAGGATGGCGTCAATGAGCTCACCATCCATCTCCGGCTCTTTGATCTCATGTGGTTCAAAGTGCTCGGGTTCCCCCGGCAGTGCAGCGTCCACGGACTCCAAAAGCTGCCAGTTCGATGAGGCCACAGTGGCATCATCCTGCACCGTAGGAGCCTGTGCGACTTGTGCACGTGCGGGGTCAACTTCGTTGGGAAGCCGTTGCCCTTTGGGTCGGGTCTCCTTCACATAGATCTCCCAACCGTCCACATCCATGGAAACCAACACCTCTTCCATCTCTTCCCATTCAGGATTGTTTTCAGGTTGAGGGTTGGCCAGCGATTCCTCGCGGCGCTTCTTCATCTCAGCCATCTCAATCAATGGCTTGCACGACCGAAGTCGAAAGAGATGATAACCAAGAGCACCTGCTTCGGAATAGAACCTGATGCACTGGAGTCGGTTATGCTCCGAATTCTCCATATGCTGGCCGTCATATCGTGTGGTACATTTGATAAGCGACGTGGCATCGAGGACGCAGAGTCCACGTTTCCTCAAAGCCTCAGCTTCGCGAATCATCTGACGGTCGTAGTCGGGGTGCAACCCATACCCCCTGCCGTACCATGGCATGATAAGGACGATGTTCCCAACGTCGGCACGTGTCGTCAGCTTCACGAGGTCGTTGAGAGCGGAGAAATGAGTGTTGACCCTTTCCTCCATGAGATCGTTTGCTGCGTCACGGCGCTTCTGGGAGTAGCATGCCATTTCCTTGTCAAGCCAATCACAGTGGAGGAAGCCGTAGTTCCCAAAAATATCGTTGCCAGCATAAGAGATGACAATGACAGATGGGCGAGAGGTTCCCCTCCGCTGCAAACATTCAAGAGAGTGCTCGACGCCCTTGATGATGTCAGGCAGCCCACGACCCCATTTGAGATCGTGCCAGATCGCCTTGCGACCTGGTGGGAGGAGGTCCGGCTTCTCCTTGATGTACTCGCCGATGTTCCTGCGCGTAGAAGCGTACCCGTCGACCATGTCCACAAGTGCCATCGAAGAATCTCCGGCAAAGATGAAGTTGGCCTCAGGTTCCCCTGGGCATACCATGCCTCTCAGCGAGAAGCTGGAAACGCCGTCGAGGAGCTTCGCGTCTTCTGGGCTGACGTCGCGGAGGTAGCCTTTGGCCAACAGCGAATGGTCAGTGTTCCCCATGATGGATGTCAAATCCGAAATCACATCAGCTTCGTTTACCACACGACACTGCGTGACAGAGCCAAAAATGCTCCCAGTCAACGCATACCACGCCTTTCCATTGGGCCCCAAAGTCACATCTTCAGCTGTGGACTCCGGTTCCCCGGGTCGAATACCAGCAGCCTCTGCAGCAGCGGAATAGTCTGCCTCCTCGACCTCTGCTTGTGGAAAGCGACGGAAGTAAGCCATGGTAGATGATGTAGAAAGCGAAACAGCGCAGAGTGCAGTAGAAGTCGTCAGTTCGGGCTTTGAGCTGGTCGCTGCAATGAAAGCTCGATGGATCATGTCCGTCATCTGAAAAGAATACGATTCGGTTTCCTTCAAGTCATGACCTCTGCCTTGAACATGGTTATGACTACCATCACATGACAGTCCATCGAAAGCAGTGACAATTGAATCACAATCAGTTTGAATAGCCCAAGGTTTCTTTATGGATTCACCGTCTTTGTTGACAATACCAACCATGCATCCATCAAATGTGACTCTAATGAGTTGATGTTTTCCACAGAACCTTTCAACTCGGTCAAACTTCCAATAGATACAATGAGCTGGCCATTCAATAGCAATCTTGGGATTTAAATGACGAATAAGATTGAGAAAATCGACCATTGATGACCATATCTTCTCAAAAACATGTCGATGATATTCAACTTTGAGTTTGGCTGATTCATGTTGCAAGTTCACATATGACCATGTTGTGCCACCAGTGCAAGGAATGCTGATCCAAATCAAAACTGGACAAGGTTGTGCCGTTGAACTCTCAATTGCTCGAACAACTTCATTTCGAATGTCCATCCTGTTCGATCTAGATGTAACGTCTCGTTCCTCCGTGCATCTGATGACATAACAATCTTTTGAATGCTTCCTTGTACGATCACCAAGCTTTGAATCAGGTCCACAACAAAATTCAATGAGAAGAACCCTGCTATGAGATGCCACTGAAGGGCAAGCAGGTTCCCCTGCGCGCTGCTGAGATCCCGACACTGTTGAAGGTGCAGGTTCCCCTGCGCGGGCTTTCATCTTCTGTGGCTCCTCCCGAGGAAGGGGCTGTGGTGAAATACCCATCAGTCGCAGAGCTGATTCCCACTTCTCAGAATTGGTAAAGGGCTTGGTGAGGATGTCTGCCGCTTGAAGCGATGAACCAACATAGACAAGTCTGAAATGTTTTCGTTTGAACTGTTCAGACAACCATGACAAGTTCAGTCTCTGGGTTTTGTCAGTGTGCCTAAATGACGGTGACCTACCACTCTCAAGGATTCGAATGGTTGCTTGGTTGTCCTCAAGGAAAATGACCTCAAGACTACCGGGTCCTGCCATGTACACACTTTCATCCCCCCGCTTTTCAGATCCAATATAGTTGAAATCAGTTAGTGCAGATCTGATTTCCCGTGACTCAACCCCATAATCCACTTCATTTGGTCCAGGGATTCTAAAAACAGTTTTCCCAGTCCATTCGAAGTCATAGATCATGTCAGCGTCAGGAGTCGTCCAGTCCCATGTCAAATCAAATTCAACATCACCAGATTTAGTTTTCATAACGGTGTACCTTTGCCTTGCCAATCCCTGAAGGTTCACTGGACAATCCGAATCAATTGGGTTATACAGTTTATTTCGGGGTTTGACATGAACTCTGGTAACTTGGTTGGTGAATGGACTGTGCTCCCAATAATCATCTTTGGGGTTTTTGGCACGAGTTTCCACTCTGCGGGACGGCTTTTGTTGAATGCTATCTCCCCCCGCGTGACGTATGACTGACCACAGGCAGGAGGAAGGTAAACCAACAGCACGTAAAGCAAGGTTCGCCGCCGTGACTTCCGCCTCTGTCGATGACATAGCCGTTGAAGTCTGCTTCTTTGAAAAAGCTGTGAGTGGATAAAACGTGTTTGGTCCTACCAAAGCAAGGAGGCAACCACTTGTAGATCTGTTGTCATGTTCCCCAGCATGATCTGAATCTGCAAATAACCATGTTTTGCAAGCCTCAGGTGGATCCCCAACGAAACCAACCATTGTTCGATCAAGGGTTGTGTGTATGTAACACATTAATCGATGAAGACTTTTGTCGCAATCAGGTGACCATTTCGTAACCCTACTTGCTAAGCCCTGAGTAGCACGGAGAAGATCAAACCTAGCCATTCGTGCTGCGAACAACACTTTCATCAACACACGTGATGCAATGGGCTGGAGTTCCCCCCGAGCTTCTGCTTCGTCCATGATGGGACGTGCAATTTTGTCATCTGGGAAAGGAGTTGAAACTTTCTTGAACTTCACGTTTGGTCCTGCTAGTTCAACGTAGCGGTCAAGACATTGTTGTAAAAATTGTCGCATGTCATACTCGACCGTGTTGACATTCTTTGTCATGCACTTGGATTTATGTTGCTCAAGTTCATCAAGAAAAGTAAATCCTTGTGCCCTAGCCGCTTTCTTTGCTCCTGATTTATCTCTTATCTTCTTAGCTGCTGCCAAAACTTTTGAGGGTTCTTGGATTGATTTGTCCGCGAAGTATGTTGATCCCGTCCACCAAAATGGAAGTCCAGTTGGGTTTTGAGATTCCATATCATGAACATACTCTTTGGGTTCATCTTGGGTTTGACAAGGTTCACACACGGTTAGCCGGTGCGTTCCCGCCCGGAAGGATGCATCGTCCTTCGGCTTGTCCTGGAACTTCTTGCGAGGTTGCAGGTGATGATGAACACAAACTCCAAGCTCTGGCATGTGCTCCCAGTAGTCCTTTGTTCGGCGGGCCGGACTGGCTGGCTTACTAGAAGGGTCTGGGATGCTAGCATCGAAGACATGAGCAAATGGATGAGCACTTACATCAAGCTTGACATTCTGTTTGAATACATGTTCGCATCCAAGATATCTGCCGGCATCTTCAGGAGTGTCCATGTCAATTTGAGAAGAAATCAACTTCCACCCTTCGTCAATGTTTTTGGAAGGTCCTGACATCTTGAAGTCATCAACATATACACCAAGCAATAACTTCAGTTTCGGATGCCAAAACATTGAAGCCCAACACTCAGGATAGAGTGGGTGGAACCCGACTGCATAAAGTGCTTTCTCACAATGACGTTGCCATAGACCCCCCGAATCAGGGTGACCATACAATGCCAAAATAAGAAGAACAACCGGATCCTTGAACACACCAATCCATTCCTTCGGCCAACGGTTTCTTGGTAATCTTATCCAAGTTAAGATCCCTTGCATCAACGCTTGGGTGTAAGCTTGCTTACCATCACCTTGTGATGTCCGGTTCCCCGGCATGGAGCCATAAGCATCTAATGCTTTCCCTGCCTCCATGTTGGCCGGTGAACTTCCGAGCTCCGCGAACAAGGCAACATCAGCCGCCTCGTCCTTAACGTTGTTCCCTTGGAAAACGGTGCGACCCTTAAACTTGCGCATGGGGTCACCCTGCGGTAGCTCACTTCCCTTCTCAACACAAATCTCGAAGATCTTGCCTACATGAACTTTGGTCTTGTTCTTGATGGCTTCCCTTGAAACATCATCCCATTCCCTAACAGTGGAATAGTCCCATGCACCCTTACTAGTAAGGTTATTCCATTCCTTATCGAGTGCAGCCTGGGCAGCCGGAGTATTGTTAATCTCCTTCTGTCCAACGGGTCTTGCCACAAGTGCATTGGAAAAATGAAAGCACATGAGCTCTGATTGATCCTTAAGCTTGTCTCTGTGGCAATGGTTTCCACCATGCGAGCCCCCCGGATTGTAGGTGACTGGCATTGCGGGAATGAAATCATCTGATGGTTCGGCATCCTTGGATTCTTTGACAGCTGAAGTGGCAAAACGATCTATAACCCTGTTGTACTTACGTTCTTTGGCAACTGCAGCATCATGCTTTTCAGCTGCCTCTTTCAACAAGGCTTCACGTTTAGCCCTTTCTCTAGCCGCTTTGGAGGCCCCCCGCCAAAGAAATGTTGGAATGTCCTTTGGTTTGGAGGAACCCTTATATCGTCTTCCCTTAAAACCACTTGCATCGTAGTATGAAGGGTCATCCTTTGAGATAAATTCTGATTTTCCAGTTTTGGGGTCAATCACTTCGATGTCATCAGACTCAAGTCCAGCTTCGCGCATCAACTGTTCAAACTCCTCTTCGCCCTCCACCGGTCCTGGCTCAATAGCTTTCCTTGGGGCAACCAAGTCTTCAATGGTTTGAGCGTCCATTTTCTTCGGATCTGGTGGAGCATCAAGGCTAAGAGATTCGTATAAACCTTCCCTAATGGCCTTATACCTACCTTTCAACGGGTAAACAAACGGTCCATCAGGTACAGTGAGTTGGTTGACACGTACAACTTGAACTGATTCGTTGAACTCCTTCTCCATGAGGTCCTTCAATGATGCTACAAGAAATTCGTTTCTCCAAACGAAACCTGGTTGCATGGCATATCCCAAAAAGATACCTGGATTCGAAGTTGGGTCAAACCGCAAATCTTTCTTGGGTTTAAGTTTCGGACCAGTCCAAAAGTCAATGCGAGCCCCAAAAGGAATGTTGGGTCCCTTGAACTTCTCCCCAAAACGAAGCTCCCACGGAGATAAGATTTCAGGGTGGTCCTGGATGTTGTGTGCCATACACCAGTGTCGTGCAGCATAACTCCAATAAGAATGGTGAAGCCCTGCCTGTTCAAGGTTTACTCTAGTCCCTTCGAGTACGGACCTGAGATTCCTCTCGGCGACTGCGTTCGACTTAGAGACATAAGCAACACTAGTGTTCTGTCTCCACCCAACTTCCCGACAAGCGAGCTTGATGGATGGCGCTGCATCGGAATAAAACACTCCGACTTCTTCACCAGGTGCAATGAAATGCCTAAAAGCTAAAACACAATCCTTGGCATGACTTCTAGCTGAAGGATAGATCCAGCGAAAATTCGTAGCGACATCTTTCATGATCATAGCAACCCTGTCACCATCAATTGATTGTTCGTTGGCATCCCTAGTCACAAGATGATCCCCAGTGATGTGATCCCCAAACTTGTTGGATTCCACGGTCAGAGATTCCCCTTTGCTACGTTTAGTAGGTTTGTACATCTTTGCACATTTGCATGTTTCACAAAAGGGATTCTTTGGGGTGTGTGTCATCATGTGCCTAAGGGACCTGGCCTCTTCTCGAAGTGCAGCTTCACCACGATCAATTGCCTTTGGTTCAGGCAACTGAAGTCGACCGTCAACTGGTTCTTCAGGAGCTTCGGCTTCATCTTCCGAACCTGCGACAACGTCTGGTGTCATGGCTGCTGGCGGCCCGGGTGCAAGTTCACCAGGAAAGAATTCTTCGAGGTCGTCGATAGCTTGTCCGGGAATTTCATCGTCATCAGCGATGGAAGCCTCGTAAGATACTTCGACCTCCTCGACTTCATCATCGGACTCGGTACCGACGGCTGACATGCGAGACCTTCGAACAGGTGAGATGATGGGCTTGCCGTTCCCGGCAGCGGAGTTCCATGAAAACGGAATCCCTACTGCTGCGGGTACCTGGCCATCTCTGGATGGTAGATAAGGAACAAAATCTTTGACTTCAAGTTTGATCTTAGTTCCATCTTTCTTCTTGAAATATGGGCGACTAAAGCTTTTCCAAACAAAATCCCATCCATCTTGAATACATCTCATCCCTACCGATATTACAGCCGGGGTATCGGGAAGAACATATGGATGAACTTCTTTGTCGATGCAATCAATATGAACAGAAGCTTGTTGGTCAGCTGATTGGGAACCATTTGCAGTGATTAATTCAAGGGGTTCATGAGAGTGATACACGATGTCATCGGGAATCATCTTGCTGCAAACTAAGTCCTGTGCACTACCAGTGTCAGCGATCCATGCTATCTCAGCGGATGCGTTACGCTGCTGGGACGGCATGTGTCCTGGCAGGGCATTCAGGTCGGAACGGATGCAGTGGCGACAGCCGATATCACTGTCACATTCAAAGCTGCATTTGCAAAGCTTACCATGCAACTCCCGAAAGACAGCTGATTGCAACATCTGTGCTGCAAGTATTGCATCACTTTCTCTTGCTT